CCATTGCTGCAGTTAAAGTTGTCTCTGGGAAGATGAAATATCCATGGAGAAATGCTCCAGTATTTAGAAATTAATATATGGAGTGCCATAAAACTGAATGAAGGTGGTGAAAAAAATGCAGTACTGTGATATTTATAAAGAGACTCCACAGGCACAACTAAAAGAGAATTATCAACAACACATAAACAATGAGCCTTATTTTCCACAGTCAACAGGTTAACAAACCCTCCTATCTATGTGACTGATGACCTCTAATCTTAAAAGGTCTGCAATGACTTTGTAAAGTGCTATACTGAGAAAATACAAGGTATTAGAAAATAATTCTGTACAATAACGCCAACTGCAGTACCAATACTGTCACTTTGAGCTTAGCACCTCTTCCTGCTGTCTCGATGTTTTACCCACAAGTTGTTTTTTTTTTTTAAGAAAGTCAGGTCAGGTGTCCACATGGGCATTAAAGTACAAATTGTTTTGGTACTATATTGGCACAGAATACAGGAAATTAGTTACTAAAAATGTCCCATTAACATCATTGAGACATCAGATTATAAAACATCATGTAGCTTTAACACTGCAAGTCCCAAGAATTTCAGGTTTCCTGCAAATCTCCACTCCCCTCCCAAAGTTTGTGTATTCACTCCACTTTGCTAACTGTCACTATCATAATGCAAATAACCCTTGATACTACCAGCCCCAGAACATGAAGCTTGAGAAAGGCTGACCCAGGAATCAATGAGAGCATGTTTCATACCATTTCCAACTGGTTTTCAATGTAGATTTTTTTAATGATCGCTGCTATATTTAATTCTGTATTCAAATTTGGTATTCAGTTCAATTTAGTGCAATAATAAGTAAAATTATGGTAACAATAATATAAAAAATGTGTCAGACATTCTTTATGCTAGTTGTTACCTTTCCACCTACTAGTTATAAACACTGCCTATTCAAAAGTTTTTATCATTCAAACACTGCTTAAGTTTTTCATTTAAACACTGCTTTTTAATTCCTAAGCAATATATTAATAGAAATATTTTGTATTAAAATTTTTTTCTCATCATTAAATCAGGAAGCTTTTTAACAAACCAGCTTAAAACAAATAAAGAAAAAACAACTGCCTGTACTAGTATAGACTTAACAGGGTAGATGCTGTTTCAGATACTTTAATAAAGCTATATATTCATCAACAATAAATCCATCAGATAGTAACAATGATACATTGTTAGACAAAAGAACACTTCCTACATTATGTGATAAGCAAACCAAGGCCCTGGATTCCCTGCTTACAACAATTAAACTCCAGGAAGCTCTCAAAAATCATGCCCAATAAAAGTCTCCATGTTCTGGTGGGTTTCCATAGAATTCTATAAAGAATTCTGATATAATCTGGAACCAAAATCCCCAAAAATGCTGTAAATTAAGGAAATGGACAAGCTTCTTCCAAATATGAATTCTGCAAACATCAGTCCTTATCTATCCTACCTGTCATGGTTCTGCCCTTCGTGGACTTCTTTTTTTAGTTTTCAGTTGCTGTGTGATTTTGTATTTTCTTGCTCATTGGTTTCTTTCCCATTTTGTGCCATTGTGATTGTTTTCTAGCAGTGTTGTTTTTTGTGTTACTCTCTGTTGCCCCCTTGAGCCAGTCTCCTTTACCCTAGCTTCTAGTTGCTTCTGTCTACATCTGCTCCTTGTCAGCTGATTCTCCCAGTATTTCTTCTGTCTCGCGTATATAACTCCTCATGTTCAGTTCCCCAGTGCTGGTTTCTCTTCATTACTTAATTTCTAATGTATGTTCCTCCTGAATGTCTCCCTGTTTTGGTTCCTGGTTTCCCTGCCTTCTGTTGATTGGATTTATTGTTCTAATGCTACAACATCAAATAAATCTGCATGAACTCATCTCTGCATTTGGATCTGATTAAAGTTGAGCTTAATATAATTTGAAAAGGTATTTCTTTTTAAATATATTTAGAACAACTTGGCTTCATAAAGGAAAGGCATACATCTATCAATGTTCAGAGATTAATAAATCTACTAAACAATTCCTAAAGTGAAAACATTAAAACCAACATATTATCACCAGACACACAAAAAAGTGGTTGATAAAGTTAATAGGAAGTTTGCATCTCAAAGTATATTTTGTCTTCATACACAGTTTCATAAATTGGTTAAAAATCCCAACATTTAGTAAAAAAATAATCAAACTTCTTTCTGCGTTAATCTGCAACGGGGCACTAAACAAGGATACATTGAACCACAAGCTGCAGCAATCGGATAAAATCAATGTTATTAAAGTTATTAAATGCAAGAAGATAGAACATACTGCAAAAAAATTCTGAAAATGAGTAAAACATTTTCAAAATAAAAGTATTTACCCTTAATTTGAATAGGAAAATAAGATGAATGAGTATTTTTACCCTTAAAATAAGATTATTAGATAGTATACACTTCAAGTAAGATAATATTTTCTTTTCTTATTTTAAATGCAAATGTTTTTATTAAATTGGTAAAGTTTCCCACTTACCCGCTCAGTTCAAGAAAAATACACAAGAAAAAAATGACTCACTTATATTTACATTTTTTTTTTGCAGTGCATAAAAATCAGTTAAGCAGAAAATATATTACTCTTTCTCCAGCACACAAAAACCTTACACTTCCAGTAAATCTATGATAAGCTTTCCCAGTTGGATTAGAAAATGAATTAAATTCTTGAAACATTTATTTAAAGGGGAAAAAAAATGATTTGATTTGCCAGCTTAATTTCACAGTATAGGATTTCGAAAAGACACATTCCACGAAATAAACTTGATATACTAAACCTTAATCCTACTGTTCAAAATATGTTTATCCAAAATAGATGAGCCTATATCAGTTCCGAATGGAAAAAACAGAAGCTTAATTATCAGTAAGCCTTGATCAAAATGTTAGTCTAAAATCTGTCAGGGGATTTAGACACTTAAGGGCACATTACGTTTCGAGTATGTTTGGCTAATGGATAATCTCTGACTCAAACTCTCTTCAAAAAAGGACATATGTAACTGCTGCGCCATCATTGTGACGAGGTCTTGGCTGAATCCAGCAGTTCTGGATGGTGCTGTTGGCCTGGAGTACTGATGCTGTACCGCGCCGATAGAAACAAAGAGCTCTGCATGAATGGAGGCTCCTCTGAGACTGTTCCCAGGCAATCTTCAGCATCTAGAGGGGAAGCACTGCCCTCTGCAGGTGAAAATGAGGTGAGCATTCTAGATGCTTCCCTGCCAAATGCTGAAACATCCCCAGCCGGCTCCTCCCTGCCCGCTCCGGCTTTCACACCTCTAAAAGCTGCAGATGGCACCACTGCTGCTTCAACCACGTCAGGATCTTTAACCCAGGGGGTACCACCCTCACTGCATCGTCATCATCTTCCTCTTCCTCCCCTGAGCCAGGAGAAGTGGGCGCTTCAGGAGCTGGAGGCAGTAGTATCTTACCAAGGCTGCTCTTTAAAAAACAAAATTGTCTAAAGAGCTGTTCTAAACGAAGTTTCTTTTTGTCTACACTTGTGTATACAAAATGATAAATAAATATGTCTAAGTTGTATTGACTGGCTTAACAAATTTCAATTATCTTCATGTCAACCATGAAGATAATCAAAAATAAATATTATTCCACGTTCACCAATGAGCACCTTGATATGTTCTTGAAAATGGCTTTGCTACCTTCCAACTCCTGTTTTTAAAACCTCTCAGGGCAATCTGAATTGTTGAAGATTGTTCTTTATTTCAAAAAGCACTTCAGATACCAATACGGACAGGTCTGTGAAGCTTAAAGTTATACTTTCAAGTTATTCATTATATGTAAATTAAAACACAGGTGTATAAACGAATGCATTTTATTTCTGTATTAAATATTGTTAAAAGTAACTGATAAATATTGAATGTCATTAAACTTGTGTGGTTTGCTGATTTTCCAGGTTCAGACCCTGAAGATTTGTAACTGTTGAACATGGCTCTAGATTTTCCAACAATGAATAACACATTTTTACAATCTGTCCTGGTGATATAATTTCAGTGCATATCAGAGAGAACAAAATATGTGAACATCCAGCAGTTAGAGGCGGCTGGTCGATTTATTCTACCTCAAACGTCTGCCAGAGAGCAACAGTTAAATAAATGCTGGGGTGGGCTTTTGTCCTCAATTATGTTTTGTGCTTTCCTGATGCAGTGAGAACTGAAGAATTCATCTAGAGATGGAATTAGGCAGTCCCAAGAGAATGTTGCAGGCTCAGGTCTGTAAAGTTAATTTAAGGAAGATGTAGCAGCCTCTAGAATTTGTAATGAAAATGATAAAAAAACAGCAGCTGCAACTTTTAAAAATATAATTGATATAGTTCAGGGCTTGGGTTAGCATTAAACAGTAAGGTTTAATGCTAACCCAAAGAAAAGGAAGCAAAATCACTTCAGTTCCTTGGTTTCTATTTTTTTTTTTTTCATTCAGGAAATAATTTAAAAAAAAATCTCTGTGAGCTGAATTTACGAAATAATTTATGTTAAATAAATGAAATGGTTACTCAGTTTTAAATAACTTTTAAAAAGACCTGAAAAACTTCTAAAATCCTTACCTTTGTCTGTTCGCAGGTGAAATTCTTCAGTTTTCTTGGCCTTCCTTTACTCTTGCTTCCCAGGTTTCAATTGGTTTGGAATTGAAAGGTCTTATAGCTCATGAGATTCAGTGAAGTCACACCCTAGGTAAATCAGTGACTCACCAGTGTGACTTAAGTGTTTATTTCCCTATGATTCATGTCAGCCTATAGGTTATTTGCCTGTAATGCAAACTCTATTCTGAGTCTTACAAGCTGAAAAATGCAGCTTTGTTTTTAACGAGTAGGACGCCATTAGCTGCTGTTTATTTTACTGCATTGACTGCTCAAGGCACTTTACAGAGAAAATTCAACCGGATCATCCAATCGGATTGGTTCAAAGTTTTCTATATAAGGAAAACCAGCTGATTGAATTGACTCAATGACTCTTCATGATTCTCTTGGAGGACCATGCAGCAATAGTAGACATTCGTTTCCATTGTGTCAATGACTGTAAAGCAATCCCTCACATCAAGCATTCATGCAACAACAGTGGAGTAAAAGGAAACTTACTTTTAACTGGAAGAAAACTCCAACAAAACCACAACCAAGGTCAGCGTCAATGTGCATTGGCAAATGTTGAAATACATAAATCAGTGACTACAATGGGTGAAAACAGCCGTTGTGAAGCGATCTGAAATAATTAACTGCTGAAAGAGTTCAGCACCAGACGACTGTACTGACTGAATTATTGCTTTTTCCTCTCTGGTCTGACAGACCAGTGGCCTAGTGCTCCAGAGCAGAGTGGAGATTGTACTACAGAGTGGAATAACCAACTTATTAATGCGCACCATAGTCATGAATTCAAGCAAACTTACAGCAGTCAGGATTTTCATTTCGCCGCGTCCAACCGGACGTGTATTTATTCTCCTTTATGAGGCACTAGGCTCGTACAGTAGAGCAGATTTTTATTTTTTTTATTTCTGCTGG